GAGAGAGAGAGAGAGAGAGAGAGAGAGAGAGAGGAGAGAGAGAGAGAGAGAGAGAGACAGACAGAGACTTTTTTTTGGGGTTGCAAGCACTTTCAGCTAAGCCTAAAACACTAACGAGACACTTCAAAAAGACAATTCTCCAAAAACATTTCTCATTTTTCTTTTTAAAAAGATAAGTTTATTAAAATTCTCCATGACATTGCAGATTGTCTCTCTATACCAACAAGCGTTACAGCATCATGCAGTGTTGGACAACACGTGGGATTTCATGGAGAAATTAGGGGCAGTCTGGAAAGCTCCTTCTTCTTCTTCTCGATCACATAGGAAAGCTCCTGAAATGACTCCATGTCGCCATGTCCTTTCCACTCCTGCTACTGGTACCATTGTTGCTTCTTATAATACTTATAAATTCCAAGCAGCAGTAGTATTGTATTTGTGAGGCACCATGGTGAAATCAGGCGCTCGTCAAAATAATGAAATCCGTGAAATAGGAATTCAGCTTTTTTCGGCCAGTTTGGAAAATAATTTTTTTTTCAAATTTGTGTTTTTTGACTCAGCACCTTCGATTCAAAAACACTTTTTATGTGCGGATTTGCTGGAAAAACGATGGAAGTCACCAAACTTTGCCGGCCATTTTCTCGCTAATTTTGTCTCTGAAACCAGGCGATCCCACCTATTTCAATCACATATACTCGACTTCTACTTCTATTCAAGATAAATGGATGATATTCTTTTCATTGAAAGCCAGGCAAATGAACACCCTTTAACTTTTAAGATGGTACATGTACCAATAACTCCATATGTCCAAAAATTGACGAGCGCCTGATTCCACGGCGTCGTGACACATTTGTTGCTGGAACAGGTTTGCGAGCCAGGTTGTCTTCCTTAGCCAGTTACTAGCAGCTAGAAACGTTGTGCACTGCCGATCGTAGACACCACCAGCTGTGAAATAGAGAGAGAGAGAGAAAATAAAAGAAAAAAGAAAAAAAATAAAATATAAAAGAGATTCAAGTTGTTCGCATTTGTTATTTGTCTTTAGTTTAATTTGTCTTTAAAAGTGTTACGATGCTGCACGTCAGCGTGTAGGCTAGCAGAGTAGATCTAGGGTCTAGGCCTGTGTTTTTGTAGACTAGCTGTGAAGAAAAATATGGGCTGTTTTTGTAGGAATTTTACGGCGCTTGCAACGGCATAAGAAGTGGAGATTGGTTAGGCTTGTAGGGTAGGATGGACTTACTTCATATCTTTAAAAAAAAAAAACACATACTGCACTACACAAATAAGCGTGCGCTTTCATTATGCCTTTCCTTGTAATCAACTGTCTAATTTTTTCTGTTTCTCTCTCTTTGTCTATCTCCGTGTTCGTGTGTGTGGTGTCCCCCCCCACCCCCCACCCCAAACCAATCCATTCCTTTGGAAATAATAAGGGGGAAAACCTTCACTTGGTAAAAACTGTTTCTTTTATGAGGAATTGTGTATGAAAGTTAAACATTTTAATTGAATGGAACCCATGCAAGTACAGAATGAACAAGGCCGACCGAGATTTTGCTGGGAGTCTGGTGTTGGAGGAGCAGAAAAGACCAGCTATTTATGTACCGAACCATCCTGATCACAAAGACCGCTACAAGATTGACTTGGAATGGACTGTGTGTCACATACTCCTTGCAGTACAATGGAAAATGTTGGTTTATAGTTCAAGTTTTAATTTAAAGTAGGCACTGCCTGAGTGGGAGGACACTCCATTTGGATGTGCTTGATCATTCAGCAAGAAGAGGCAATAGAAAGGCTGCAAGAGAGAGTCAGGAGCCCCGAGGGGTTGGGGGCAGAAAGTGGAGACGAAAGCAGACGATAGAACATTGGTAGAGAGCAGGAAAGGAGGTGAAAGGAGACAATTTCAGAGAAGAAAATTCTTCCAAGCAAACGGGTCTCTACATGCCAAACGAGCACAAACTGCGAAAGGTTTCTCAAAGTCTGACTGCTGATCATATTGTCACACAAATGGTGGATTTTGTAGATGCAGAAGGACTCACACTAAGCGAGGCATTCGGCAGAGCTGAATGCATCTCCGATTTTGTAACCAACATGTTAAAAGCACACAAACAGCAAAATACACTGACATGGAACAACTCTTCAATTTCACAAAATGAGATCTGGGTGAAACAATTTGGTGGGGATCTTGGTAAAATGAGCTGAAAATTCACAATGTAGATAGCAAATATCAACAAGACAAATTCCAAGCACTACACTTTCGTAGTTGCAATGGCCAAAGTCAAAGATAGCTGCGAAAATCTTAGGATCTGCATGTCTATTTTACAATAACAGCTTGAGGAACTCTCCAGGTTAGAATGGGATGGGAAGAAGATAGTATTATTTCTGTTTGGTCACTACGACTTTCTCGTGAAGCTCTATGGACTCTGGCGCTCAGGGTACATACCCATGTCTATGGTGCCTCACGCAAAAGTCCGACATGAAATCCGTGCAGAAAAAAGACCACTCTCTCCAGTCTTTAGCAAACATGCGTTTCATGAAGTAGCCTATGGCTTCGGGCAGAAAAAAAATGTGAAACCGTACCACAATTGTCTCCATTATCCAATGCTTGAGGTGAAACCTGAAAAGGTGGCCCCGCCATATCTCCATATATTGCGGGGCATTGTGATCAAACATCATTGCCTGCTTGTATGTATGTAGTATAGGGTTTTACGGCGCTCGCAACTGCTAAGGCCATATGAGCGCGTGAAACACAAGTTGTCTACTTTCGCAAAAGTTCATAGCACGATTGGTTAACTAATTGACTTTAAAATGCTAAAATGTTAAAATATTAAAATTCAGTGTAAATATATTTGTGGTTTAAAACAACTCTTATAGGTAACAATAAAAATTGTAAATAGTACGTTTTCATTTTTCATTTTACAACTTGCCATAAAGGTCGATGGCCTTTATAAAATTCAAAATTCTGCTGGGAACAACGATGGAAAAAATATCTTGCAATTTCTTGCATTTATAATATTTCCTTCGGATCTCTCCAAAGTCTAGACATTCGGTTAAGATGTGTCTAATGGTAAAATCTGTGTCGCATCCGACACAGAACGGCTTCTCATCTCCCTGTAGGAGGTATTTGTGGGTCAGGGTCGTGTGTCCGATGCGCAATCGAGTAAAAAAGACTTCGTCTCTTCTGGAGAGGTCCGAAGGATTTCGCTGTTCTAGTTTGGGTTTTATTTCATATAGTTTATAATTTTTCTGGTTTTCCCAGTGGCTCTCCCACAGACTGGAGGTGTACTTTTTTACTTTATTTCTAAAGTCAGTCTGTGGGAGAGTGTTTGTCGTTGATCCCAGCAGAAGGGATGAAGCTTTCTTCGCCAGGTCGTCTACCTGCTCGTTTCCTCGGATGCCCACATGGCTGGGTATCCATGCGAACATTATGTTTTTTCCTGTTTCGGATAGTGTATGGATTTTCTGTTGTAGCCTAACTATTTTTGGGTGTAAGAGTGTGTAGTTTGTGAGTGAGGTGATGCAAGACAGAGAGTCAGAAAGGATAAGGAAAGATTTGTTAGGAGAATTTTCTACAGAGTCCAGTGCCGTGTCTTTTCTGTCTACCATGCGTATATAGTTAGGTTGGATTTCGCCTTTCGCATTATTTGTACAAAATCAGCTCCACTAAAACAAAAACTTTTAAATAAAATTGATCCCTTTTTGGTTTAGAAAATGAAACAACTATTGTAGAAACTGTATGGAAAGTTTCAAAACAAGCTGAAGTGAGTAAGGCGATACAGTTGCTCAAAGAAGTCCTCTTGATTTCCTAATTGTCTGCCTTATTGGCTACCTAATTTGCATATTCAATATTTTTTCTTGATGAAATATTTCTTTGTTCACATGTTATTCACATTCATAGGCATATTGGACCATGACTCTAAAAAGAAAGAAAATAACCCCATTTAGGATCCTGCTACCTTAACCAATACCAGTACAAAGAAAAAAACATGCCACTGTGTGATTTCCACAATTAAATAGCTACTGGGTCAATCAACACCGACAGAAAAAATCTGCTCCATGGAAGAAATTGTGGCAAACTGCGAAGGGTGTGGTCGAAGCCCAACGGATTACTCTTCGGCAGGGGGAAACCACTATTGACACAAACAAATTGTACTCACATTTGATTCGTGTCGCCCTCCAGCTACCATTCGGGCATCTTACTTGGTACTTGACGTGCGATCCTATGCCCTGAACCCTCTGGTTGCTTCAAGTGCCAGAAATTCAGCCATAGCCAGTCGCGATGCCGACACGCAGCCATGTGTCCTCGTTGTAGCAAGACCGGCATCCTGAGCTAGTCCTTGCTGCCCCAATTCATTTCTGCATTTCGTTCACAATGGAGTCCTCAGGAGAGCCGCGTAGACTTACTGCACAGCAAACTATAGACCTATTTACACGAAAGCTAAACTTTCTCTTAAGAAAGGAATGTGCAACAAAAAATCAAAATTTGGCAATGATATCAAACTCATTTCATTTTCAACGGCCTTGCATCAAGCAAACCCCACAAAAGAAGAACTACTTAAATTTGAAAATAAGGTCCTGCTAGTTGATGACAACATTGTGAAGGACAGGAATGGACAAAATTATGAAATTATGGATTCAAAATGCCATTGTTTCATGTTTAAAGTCCAAAGAATTGTTTGCAGGCACATTTTTGCAGATCATCATTCACAATTAACGCCTTTGTGTAAAATACATTATATTGTGATTGTGACGAAGTATTGCTTGAAAAATTGTGCACCATTCCATGCCCTACCATTTGTACGCATATAATACACAACTTTACAATTCTGCAAAACCAAACAAAATTCAATCTCTGTTAAAAAAACATCTCAGAATGTTTTGAATCTGTAAAAGCATGGATGACTGAAAATAAATTGAAATTAAATGATGACAAAACAAATCATGCAATGCTCAACCAGCTCAAAGATAAATGCTCTTGACGTAGAATGTCTCACCATTGGCAAAGGTACTGTCGCTTTTTCGAACAAAGCAAAAAATCTTGGAGTATACTTAGACAAAGACTTGTCCATGGTGACCCAACTTAACCATCCATGTAAAATTTCATACTTAGAAATGAGAAGAATTGCTCAATCAGGGAAATTTCTTAGCACTGATGCCACCAAAAAACTAGTGTTTGCCTTCATTTTGTCACGCACTGATTTTTGCAATTCACTGTTCGCTGGCCTACCTGAAGAAAAAATTGCAAAACATTCAAAACAATGCTGCCAGACTAGTATTAAAGCAATCAAAACGCCGTCATATGCGAGTGCCCTCCTTAAAGAGCTCCATTGGCTTCCACTGAAAGTGAGAATCGAATATAAGTTAGCCCTACTATGCCTCAAAGGTCAAACTAACTAATCCCCCACATACATTCAAGAACTCATTGTACCATACACACCATCACGTGAACTAGATCCAGTGGCTCTAGACTAATTTCAACACCTCCTGTGTCGCTGACCAACGTAAGACATTCTTTATATTTTAAAATTTTGAAGGCTGTCAGCATGGACTTTCGGCTGCTAGCGATCTGTTGTTCACTGCATGTCAAGAGATGGAGGTTATTTTCAGGGAGCAAGCATCATGAAAGTCAATCCACATTGTGGGAATTCGCAATCTGTTTATTCAACACATGGTAAAAGCCCAACATTTGGCACACTTAATGTGCAAAGAAGGAAAAAGTAACCTTACACTCTAAATCATTTGCCTGTTTGCAAATATCAGACTGCACCACCACATTAAGTGCATGAACCAGGAACTCAAATGCAACAAAGCTGCAGCCAAAAAGGCATCAATTTTCCAGCCAATAGATCAGCACAAGCAGGGAAGTCAACACAAGAAGAGAAGCAACACACGAGTAAGTCCCCCCAACGCTGTGCTCTCTCTCTCTCTCTTATATTGCGGTGGCGTCATTATAATTCAGTTTTAATTTATTCATTTCAAATTTCAAACCGTGTATTCTTTCTTTCTTTCCTTCTTACCCAATCATTCTCATTCCTTTCGTCAACATTTACATTACAGTTTTTTATCAGAGCCAGATGGGTTGAGAGCGAGGATACCGGAACTAAAGCAGGAACAGCAGCCGAATGTAAACAAAGGGTCGAGAGGGCTTATCGAGAAGGCCGGGGGCAAATTTGAACCGTGTGTACCTACAAGGCTAACAAGGTGTCGTAGACAATGACGTGCCGTGTTGTGTTGTGTGCGTGCTCCTAAGTATTCATTCAGAGTGTGTTTCATTAGCCTTGCTCCCGATTTGAATGTGATAGTTGACTTTTTTTGTGCTTTATGGCATAAATTCTGTTTTCAGGATATTATTAAGTGCTGGTGTTGATTCGAATCAAGGAGAAGTATGTGATCCATCAACAGACAATGCCACCATAAACAATGAATAATGGCGTGCCATGCCATGTTGTGTTGTGTGTGCCAAAGTGTGTTTCTTTAGCCGTGTGTGTCCGATTTGAATGCGGTGATAGTTAATTATCGTGTTCTGGTACGTATTGTGTTAACTTCATAGATTCTGTTTCCCCTAGATCTAGGCCTAATACTAGAGACTCTGGGAAGTAGGAGTAGGAGAGGTCGGTGATCCTAGCTTTAAGTTTTTCTTCTCAACTTAACTCGCGAGTGGTGTTGACAGAATGAGAAAGTTACCCTTACTGTACTGTACAATTTCCCATTTAGTAGATTAGATATCCAATGTTTCTATTTTATTTTGGGTGGGGGCTACAGTTGTTGGCATTATAATTTTAAATCAAGAGGTGATTTGTACCCATTTTAAAGGATTGTAGGCTAGATCTAGATCTAGATTCTAGAGATGTCAATAAAAGTAAAAGTAAAGTAAAAAGCAAGTGCAGCATTGAGATCTACTTTAGATCTGTGCCTGTGTGACTGCGACTTACTTGTACAAGTGTTTAAAACTAGATCTAGATCTAGATATAGTCAGTAAAACTACTGCAAGTTCACTCAAACTCAAGACAGAGGAAGAAAACCAAGGGTCCCTTGCCTTAGAGTTGAGAGCCAAAATCATCCTAATTTATATCGATTCTATGGTATTTTTCTATTTTTGTTTTTTTTTCTTCTTTGGTAGTTTAAACATTTATCAAGATGCCACGAAACTATTCTGTTGGTGATTGTGACACTAATTTTGACAGTGAGCGAAAACAACGTTGTGATTGGATCAAAGCTATTCCCAACAAGGAGAAAACTGTAAATAATGTCACAAAATACATGACATGGGTGTATGTGGCCGACACTGGCCTGAAGGTGTAAGGATGAGAAAACGAAACCTTTCTGTTTTCGTTTGATTCTTATTAGGGTGCTTGGGCTACTTTAATTAGTAACTCATCAAAGTGATTGCCTTTAACTAATTTAAATCCGTCACTTCAACAAGCTCCATTTAAGTCTTTGGGTTTATGAGAGAAAAACAAACACACCCACACAAACACACTTTAAAAAACACCACAAAAACGAATATTAAGTAGTTTTGGTTCCACTTTTCCGGGGGAGAGAGAGAGAGAGAGAGAGAGAGAGAGAGAGAGAGAGAGAGAGAGAGAGAGAGAGAGAGAGAGAGAGAGAGAGAGAGAGAGAGAGTCATTCATGCACTGCGCTGCTTCTACCTGCGTCCGTCTCGCCTGGTCAGTAGTTGATCTGACCAGCCCTCTCGAATCGCGCGGGCCGTGGCCTGCTTTGTCTGATTTATTTTGGTAGCCTCGGTTGAGAGCCTTGGAAACTACACAAAACCCAAATTCAAGAACATCCAGCCTGGGATTTGAACTAGAACCACCAACTCCTTACTTAGTCCAGTATGTTACCAACTCAGGTAAGGAAGCACCTGTGTCTGCTGTCTACTGTCTACTCTACTAACACTAACAGATACAATTTGACTTGTTAAAAAGGAACGTTTCAATTGCATTCATCTCCCAAATGAAAACCAGTGTTTGCTCTCGCACGCAGGAGCCATGATTTCGATTCCCGAGTTAAGAGAAATTTTTATTGTGTATATTCTCAGTCTTTTTGTCACAGTGCTGTATCCCTCACAGCCTGGGTTGGCCCTGACAGGCAGGGCAAGAAACCGGCCTCCCAAATGATTTAAATTATTATTTCGTCAATGGAAGGGGAAAGGGGGAGGTGGGGGGTAAAAACACCTAGTATAATTTAAAGAAAAAAAACCCATCACAACAAAATTAATAATCAGCAGATAGATAACCTTGGGCTCCAGTACAGAAAGTCAAATTGATTTTTTTAAAGTGCTATTCTTATGGTTCAGACAAAACAATATGCCATTACTGATGTTTTTCTATACCATTTAGATAACTGCTTTGAACAATGGCAGCAAGGTACACACAGTCCTAATTTCCAATAATTGGATAGGGTGTGAGGTAAGAAAAGAAAGTGGCGGCGAGGGACCAAAAAAAATAAAACATTTTAAAACATTTTTCCTCAGGAACTTTGGAAAATGTACACTAGTCTGGTGGCAAAAGTCCGACACAGTAAAGCCATCATGTTTTGTTTTGTTTGAATATGTTTTACTGCACAATCAACACAACCCGATCGATGAAAGCCAGTTGAAGTGACCCAACTTCCACATGAACCAGTAAGTACATGTGTAGCGCTTCTACAGTGTGTGTTTTACCAGAGTTTCTGTAGTGATAGAAATATATATATATATATACCGGGAACAGTGCCTTTGTGGGCAGGAAACAAGTTTGTAGATCAGCCAGAAGCTGCAAATTGTCCTTTTTGTATCAACAATGGAAGAGGTGGGAGGTGAGGGAGGGAGAATCAGATAATACATCCCCATTTCTGTTTCTTCCAAGTTTTTCTTTTTCAAGTTTATTTTCTGGGAGTGGATAGGGGAGAGGTTACTATTTCTGTCGTAGCCTTTCTTTTTCGAGAAGGATTTTTGTTTAGATACATGAGAGATCATGAGATCCAGTCTTTTGCTCTCAATGTGAAAATGCCTGCAGCTTGTTGTGGATTCTTCTGTCACGCTGTAGCAGCCGTGAGACCTGCCCTGCCCTGGCTACTGCATCACCGACTTATCTGCCACCCACACTTGTCCCACTCTCTCAGCGAGCAAGTGATGGGGCGATATTGTCTCTACACACACACACACACATATATCATATACTACTACTGGCCAATGTGCAAGTTAAGTTTACTAATAAGAGGGGTTTTTAAAAGTTATAGTAGAGGTTTTACGGCGCTCACAACTGCATAAAGTCATATGAGCGCCAGAAGATTAGAGGTGTTACAAGAGAGTAACAAATATAAAAAAGAAGAAGGAGAGGGAAGGACGATAGATGTTTGATAGGAAAGAAGAAGCAAACCACACCAGAGCACCCGCCAACCACCCACTAATAAGTTTTACGGCGCTCGCAACTGCATAAGCCAATGTGCAAATCCCTGATATTGTCGGTAAGTACAAAACAAAACAAATGGCAAACTGTCAGAAATGACACCACACATGGAGCTACAGAATTAAACACTCGTTGAGGACTTTTCTATTAAGCTTATGGACACATTTTCACTAAGTTTCACTTTTACCACTGAACAGTCAACAGGAGAAAAAAGAAAATGAACCCCAAAATTATAATAAATTACCTAGACTTCATGAGAGCAGTGGAGTTTTTTTTAAAAAGAAAAGAAGCAAATTACCAAAGTACAGGTATCTATATTTGTATAATGAAACTTTCAGTCACTGTCATGATAAAGCATCTATCTCGAATAAATAAAACTATTTCTTTTTGTTTTAAATGTAGGTGTTTTTTATGGCCTCATCAACACAATCTAGATCACTTTAGGAGGCAGGCTTCAATTCTGTCTGTCAGGGCCAACCTAGACTGAGAGGGATACAATGCCCCAGAGGATACTGACATACTCTATTTCTAAAAATTATCTAAATACAGGAATCGAATCCAGGTTTTCAGCGTGCGGCGGAAAAGCAAAGCGTCTGGCTTTTGCACTAATGAAAGAGGTGAAAATCCACCTGAGACTAGAGTCACTTCCTTAGCTGAAGAACAAGGGAAAAGGAGTTACTGTTTGCCCCACTAACCAATACTAGGACCAATCCCTGCAGCACCAGACGCCGTTTACAACTGGTGAAATGGTATAGGTTTAACGCCCCTATCAACACTAATAGGTTAAGAGGCGGGACCTCCGAGTTTATCGTCCATCCCCGAAAGGACCGAGCCAAATGGGAAATTTGGGTTACTTAATCTCATAATTACGGGTCCGGTGGCCTAACCACTAGACTATCGACGCCACTTCAAAACTGGAATTTGTATCATCATGCAGCTGCAGACAACAAGGCAGTTTAGTTTAACTCAAGTTGAATATATTCCAATGCCTTTTTTTCCCTCGTTTATGCAGGTAGAAAAGTGGTTCCAAAAACTGCTTCCGCACTCTGCATTATATCCTGCAGGTCGTTTGTGGAAACAGATCCAAAGAACTGTCAATGCCGCTAAAGGAAAAAGTGGAGAGGCCTTGACCACTTACATCAATGAAGTGGTCAATCTGGACTTCATTACTCAAAGCCTTGAGGATATCGGCATTGGGACGGGTTTGCCAATCAATGTTCCCAGATTCTGAACCCCACTTTCGATCTTAACTACAATAAATTCCACGAAAAGCTTTTAGAAATATGCCAAAAACACATACCAAAAACAAAACCCCGGAGGAACACGATCTGGTTCTCTGAGGAATGTGAGGATGCAGTAAAGAAAAAAAAAGGCAGCGTATCGAAAGACCGTCAACAACACCACCACAGAAAACAAGATCAATTATTTAAAAGCTCGAGCTGTGGCACGCGGATGCCTTCAAATCCTTCGAAAAATACATCTCCATCTTACTTTGCGGAGTCCATCTTCTGTAGGAAGTTCTGTAGAGACCAGGCTCCTTTCCAAGCATTCACTGCTTCCATTGGTGTAGTGTACACGAAGGCAAAGGCAGTAACTGCGCTGCAGCAAAAGTGGGCCGCAAACACCAAGTTATTAGTTGAAACCGCAGACCCAGTGTGGAACTAGAACCTCATCCACGGTTCTCATCTTGAGGAACTTCATTCAGCAGTGCCTCTGGTTTCTGGTCCACTTATGCAGTCAACACCTGGTACTGCTACTCCTCTGTTTCTTCCTCAGACTGAAGTGTTTCTAGATCATGCACAGTCACACCTTTAGCTGTCACCAGAACAAGTCAGTCACTGGAAAGAGAGAAAAAAACTTGACATAAAAAAACTATAATGTTGGCAGAGTGAACCAAATGTTTGCCAGGAATGAAGAAAGAATAGATAAGCATCAGGACAAAATTGCATGCCTCAAAAAAGACATTTCATGACTAACCAAAGAAGTTGAAAATTTGAACAAACAGAATAAAAACCGAGAACAACTTTCTGAACAAACTAAAGCTGCAAACAAAGCTAAGAAAGAACAAGAGACAACCCTCAAGGTAACAAAACTTGAGGAGACTCTTACAGAACAATACCATGATTTAAAGAGAGATCAAAAAGATCAAAGAAAGATAAAGACATTCTAATTGATCATTTACATGACAAATTAAATGATGAAAAAAAATTTCTGACATCATGTAAAATAAAAGAAAAACAGTCCATAAATTAAGGTTGACTGCTTACATGACTTGTTTACAGCACAATGTTCCTGTAGTTGCCGTGTCACCCATGGCGAAATCTTGTCTAAAAATCTTGCAGGCATCGATATTACCACATTACCAGATTCAACAACTATTGCACAGACGGGGAGAGAGATGGGTGTCTGTGAAGCCATAATTAGAGAAACAACTACACTGGCCTTTGACGCCACTACTCTTGGCGGTGATCACATATATAAATTAAATTCACTTTCTGACACCCACAGTTACACTTACCGCGAGCCTGTCTGTTTCGCCACGTGGTCGAGCAGAAGACTATGCCAACAACATAATGGAGACAATTGACGACCTAGCTACAGTGTTTAGCATGTACGATAAACTGAACATTGCAGCTGTTTGGCAACAAATATGTGCAAGCATTCTGTGAAAAGGTGAAATGGTATAGATTTAACACTATCAACACTATATTAGGTTAATTAAGAGGCAGGATCTCCGAGTTTAACGTCAATCTCCGAAAGGACCGAGCCAAGTGGGAAATTTGTGTAAAGTGCCTTCAGCATTCTGTCCACACTGACAGATCGGGCCTGTGTCAATCATGCCACTGTTGTGCTTCTGGAGGAAAAGTTTCAGCGTCCTCTCCTGGAGCCTTGCCACCTGCAACCTCTGGACGGGATTTCTCTTGCTGTCAGGTCATCACTTAAAGCTTTGAATTCAACCATCAAGAGCAAACTGTATAGGACAGACTGTGAAGGGCTGCCAACCTTATCTATGCCATTTCCAAACTTCGTTACAAGGCAAAAGGTGACCCAGGCAGGAGCTTTCAAAAATTTCTTGAAGGAGCATGACTTGCCTTTGAGCACATTTCCGCAGTACATTGGAAACCGCTTCCATGTGTTATTTCACTCGGCTGGCACCATTTATCTTCATCAGAGACTTCTTCTGAAATACTTGAAGTACTCCAGCAACAATAGCACAGGTTTGAAATCCTCAGATGTTGAGGACCTTCCAAACCCTTCCATCCTGCTCCACCTGCAAGTCCTTGGGTTGTGGGGAAAGCTGCTCACTGGACCCTGGATGGCAGTCTTCTACACAGAAGACAGTAAGCGTTGCCATCTCGAGCTGGCACAGCATCTCAAATGCACTTTAGCATTTATTGCCAGGGTTGAACAGACCCTACAGGCAGCTCTGCTCTCAAAGAAGGATGCTTCTGGCAGCCCTCCTATTCAAGACAATACGTTGGTGTCCTTCCTGCCGTCACTGACAAAGTCAATAAAGAGAAAATGAAGCTTCAGCTGAACGAATACTTGCAAGGATTGCTGGCTAACCCATCACAGGAAATCAAGGAGAAGGCAGCTAGTGTCCCAGTGCACATCATGTGGGATGAGAGGACGCTTTGTAGCGCGATCTAAGCGTGCTCCAAATGCACAGACGCCCTTCTTGGACTCACTTACAAAATCAAGGATGAACAAAACACTCGAATTCGAATGGGTTTTGTGACAGTCTGAGGAAGA